AGGTGTCCTCCATCCGCAAGATATCCCATATTGTTTTCTTCTCCCTTTCGGTTCTCATAGGCCTTTCCTTCCCCCACTGGGTCCCCACATACCTTAGGCTTGATTCCCACTCCACTAGGCTCCACATGTTCCTTCTTATTTACCCCTTGGAGGTTTCCTGACCTTATATTGGAGAAGGACAGGCCAGATGTCACTGGGCTACATGGCTGCCTTCTGGAAGTGGCCATCGTTGTCAGCACACCTGCAATTCTTCAGCGCTGTGCAGGATTGCATGCAAGCAGCAAAAAAAGGAATTCATCCCTGGCCAATGCAGCAGCCTTGTGAAAACAGCCATTTTGGTACGCTCATGTGGAATGCATGGCTGCTATGCAGAAGCAGCTGACATTTTGAGATGCCTGCAAGGAATTGTGGGTACACTGAAAATGATGGTCATTTCTGGGAGGCAGCCATGTGGCCCAGGGACGCGTGACCTAACCACCTTCCCAACATAAGGCCAAGAGATCTTCAAGAGGTAAGTGCAGGTGGGAAGTAGGTCCAAGGCCTGCAGGATCCTGGTGAGCGTGGGGGGGGGGGAAGAGAGGCGGGGAGCACTGCACCACATCAGCAAAAAGTCATAAGGGTGAATGACTGTAGGGGCATTGCAGCCGCCATAACTTTGAAACAGAATCATAAGTAGCTTTAACTGCTAGTAATTGCTACTTATTTAAAAGGAAGTGTCATGAATTTGCTTTATATTTCCATTAGGGAAAAAATGGCTCTTCAATTGATTCTCATAATGTCTATCTCAGATACAAAGTATTGTTTAGTCAGGAAGCCAGAATAGTTTAATTATCTGGTTACTGGCTTTCAGACTGAGAAAACAGCTTTGAAAACTTCAGTCAGGAACTCTTTATAAGATTTAGACCAAATCAGTAATATTTACAGTATTATATGTTTTTGAGCAGATCCTGAAGTTGAAACTCAAATACTTTGGCCACCTAATGAGAAGGAAGGACTCACTGGAGAAGGGCCTAATGCTGGGAAAAATTGAGGGCAATAGAAGAAGGGGACAACAGAGAATGAGGTGGCTGGATGGAGTCACTGAAGCAGTAGGTGTGAACTTAAATGGACTCCAGAAGATGGTAGAGGACAGGAAGACCTGGAGGAACGTTGTCCATGGGGTCGCAATGGGTCGGACACGACTTCACAATTAACAAAAACAACAACAAATGTTTTTGAGAAGATCAGGTTAAAAACTTGCCATTTTGCAAAACATTTCCTTGCATTAAAACATTTCCTGTCTTATTTAGATAGTTAGTTTCTATCAAATACTGTTGTTTTGTGATCAACCAGGCAGCAAGTGAAGATTCCAAGGGCTTCATATTAGACTTGTTCAGAAATCCAGATTCAAAAGGCATAATGTGATTCAGAGTATGCAGGAAAACCTTGAAACAGTTGCTTCTTCTCAGTTCTCACAGCTGCCTTCACAGCTAATACAATCTCCTGCAAGAAATGCATTTGGTTTGAGGTGTTCCCAACAGATGGTATGTGACAGTATGTATGTGCTGAATCATTTGCTCTCTGAATGCAGATGGCAGCACAACACAAATATCTGTTCTCAAAATATGGAAAAAGGTGCTCATTGAAGACTAATATATCATAGAGAACATTTGAATTTTTGACATTTAAATTGCCATATGCAAGATCTGCTAAAGCCATTTATAAAGTTTCTTATTGTGGAAATAATTATGCTTATTCCATTTAGTCCGGTAGGGTCTGTCTTGAGGGTAGAATAACCGATAATCACCTTGATTAAAAACTACTGGAGACCCTTCTCGACAAGAGTAGTAAGAAATTACCTTTGTATACAATAGTGGAGGTGAACTGTTTACATTGAATTCACACACTAAAGAAAAGTAGTAGGATCGTACGTGACAACATGTCATATATGTGTTATACATATTAGTACAGTACAGACTCTGTCCTAAAGCAGTCCATCTAGTGGTACCAAAGGTCTTGTCTGTGACTCTCTCCCTGTGGAACATCAACCCTGAGTCCGCAAGGAGAAGGGCGGGATATAAATTCAATAAATAAATAAAAAATAAATAAATAAAACCCTAGATAAGATTGGCCCCCACTTTGACAGTTTTTCTCAAGGCCCTGGAGATCAGGCCTAGGGACCCAGAGTGGTGTGGAGCCTATCAAATGGCTCGTTTGATTGTTGTTGCTAGAATGGTAGTGTTATTGCCTTTTATATTGGGTTTTTATCATGCAAGCCATCTGGAGTCATTGAGAGTGAGTTGGGTGGCCATATAAATTTTCTTAAATAAATATACTAAACATGCTTAACATGCTACTGAAGAAAAGCTGTGGATCTATCAGAGTAATACAAGTGTTTATGACACAGTGAGATTAAAGAGTTTGGGATATCTAGTTGCTGATATTGTAGTATAATAAAATCTCAAACTTCAAAGGCAGAAGTACAGTGAAAACATGGAATGTAAAAATCAGGAACATGAGAAAAGTCGCACAGAGAAATGAACTGGGCATACATTAACATCTTGGGCATTATCTAATAAGATGGGCAGGAAGTGGACACTTTTAGCCAAAAGTTCATACTTCTTATAACTCAAGACACACAGGAATGGCATTGCTTTCATAACCAGGAATGATATTGTAAGGGCAATACCTGGGCACAATGCAGTGATTAAATAATATCAATTAGACTTTGCAGACAAACCTTAGTTAATAATTAACTAAGTTTATGCCTCAACCATTGATACAGAGGAGAAGATTGACAGGTTATCTGCTCAAGGTTAATCTAAAATTGACAGAATATGCAAGCATTCTGTGCTGCTTGTGGTTGCAGTTTGGAATGCCAAAGTTGAAAATATTCAAGAGGACAGCCTAGATGGAAAGCACAACCTAAGAAAAAGAAATGAAGTAGGAGAATGGCTTACCAATTTCTCCCAGTCCAATGTTTTTCATTACTAACAGTATTCCAACAAATAAAATTACACCTTCATATGCATCATACATGGATATACAGTACATCTACATGGGCATCATTAGACTGAATACACCGTTTTTTGGTGGAAAAGAAAAAAGATGGAAGACTTCAGTTATTACAGGAAAGAATGGCAAGGGGTTGACTGTGGAACTAATTATGAACTGCTCGTGCAAGCTCTAAGTCAAGATAAATTGGAAGAAAAAAGTAAACCAGTTTTCATCAGTCAAAGATCCATGCGTAACTTCAGAGTTATTTATTTCCTTTTCCAGAGACAAATTATGCAAAAATATAAAAAGACCACTGTAGAGTCCATAATAAATACTTCATTTAAAGAATGACTCAGGTACGTAGACGACACCTTCATAATCTGGCCACATGGGAAAGAAAAACTGGACAACTTCCTCACATACCTCAACAGCCTACACCCCAAAATACAGTTCACCATGGAAACAGAAGCTAATAACCAACTCCCCTTCCTGGATGTCCTAGTCTACAAGAAATCCAATGGCTCCCTAGGACACACCATCTACCAGAAGAAAACACACACAAACCGCTATCTGCATGCACTCTCACACCACCACCCAGCATAGGTCAACTCCGTAGCGAAGACACTCATCTCCAGAACAAAACGCTTAGCTGACGAACAACACCTAAAAACCGAACTACACACTCTCACTAACGTACTAACATCCAACGGATTCCAAAGAAATAAGATTACCAACCTAATCCAAAAAGAAACGCCCACTAAAATCCAAGACAGAGAACAAGAAAACGGCAAAGCCCTCCTCCCATACATAAAAGGCA